TTGGAAAAATCAAATGAATCCTCGCGATATTCCAGACTCAGAAGTAACGGCAAACAGTTACGAGTTTCAGCGTTTGCTCTCTTGAAATGTCACACAAATAGAATGTTGTAAAATCAACAATTACTTGATACGAAACAGTCGTAATGAACACAAAAGGCTAGTATGAAAACTGTTAAACGCTGAAAATGTGACTATTTGTAATCGCTCATGGTGATACCCTTATCAGTTCAATGTGATATTCCTTACCATATTGTGCCCCTGACATCTACAATTCTATCTTATTTCACAATCTGTGATATTTCGCCCGCGCTCGGCGTGGATGTTCGGCGAAGAGCACATCGCGCGGGCTATGCCAACATAAATCCACACAACTTACGGCAGATCCTCAAGAGCCGGACGAGGGCGGTCTCGACCGGGTGGAAAGCCGAGGAGTCAATCATTCATTGGAGCATTTCTATCGTCCTTGCCACAGCCGCCGACGACGAACGACCATGAACGAGTACGAGAAGGATCCAGGATGGAAGTACCTACGTCTCTCCAAAGAGGAGATGGACAAGGTAAGGAGCAGCATTTGCGATAGTTTCCATTTAATGTTCTGCCTATAGGACTTTTTTGAATATAAATCATTCAGGAGCATAATCAACCTTATGACTCCAAGAAAAATGTATGGGTACCCGATCCGGAAGAGGGTTACGTGGCAGCTGAGGTCAAGTCAAGGAAGGGTGACAATGTTACTGTAATGGTCGGCGATAAGGAGGTATGTTTTCGTTCTGCCAAAGCGAAAAAGGAAGAGAATCAATGACTCCTCCAGAAAACCTTCAAAAAGGACATACTACAAGAAATGAATCCTCCAAAGTTCGAGAAGACAGAGGATATGTCAAATCTGACATTCTTGAACGATGCTTCCGTACTTCATAATCTCCGATCTCGTTATGCGTCAATGCTCATCTACGTAAGCATTTTCCTGTCGATTTGTTTTCATTACCATATCGCCCTTGCAGCTTTGAGTACAACTCGCAGCGGTGAAAAAACATGCCAAAATTTGATGATTTTGCGTAAGCTTACATTTAGAGCTGCAAATTTTCTCCGAAGCATTATTTGTTGAAAAGCATGGTCGATCGACTCGATTGCGCCATTGTTCCGAGAAGAGTTTGGCGGATGAGAGGTTAACAAACAGTGCCCCGTTTCTAGTTTCTCCCGAGCGCGCACGCACTCTTGCACCACCCCCTCATATCGCTGCTGCTGATCCAAGAATACCTGGAGCTCTGGAGCTAAAATGAAATTTCATCATAGGCCATTCAAGCAAATGAGTAACCTTGAGTCCCTTTAGTGGAGGCAACATGGAGGTCGAGCTCAGATAACCATTCCTTTTACGGCATAGCAGAGTTACTGCGGATTTTCAAATTTTTGGGTATTCATTTAAAACAAAATAGACTAAGAACTAGCAAACTTTGTCAATCAGCACCTACAAATCAGTGACTTTTTGATGCTTGGTCTAAGGTGCAAACAGGATACCCACATGTAGCAGGCCACATGAGTCTTGTTGTTAGTACATAAGAATAAAGCCGGTCGTATTCACATTTTCACCAATGATTTTGCGTAAAATAAGTAATCATGAAGTTTATATTTGGCAGTTCCGATTAAAATTTGGGCACTTGAACTCATTATGTGAATACTAATGGGGAGACCGTGACTAGGACATCGCCGAAACAGCAGCTCAGATAATTCACTAATGCCAAGAAATTCGACCCTACAGTCTCACCCAGTACCGTACCTGAAGACGCT